AATTTTTTTACAATTATTCTTGAACATGGAATTGCATATTCCTTTGGTGAATATATAATTGATTTATTGTTGGTATATATAAAATTCAAATGAACTCACTTCCCAATTTCTTTTTTATAATTGTTTATCTACCTTTACATGCATATTATAATCATATTATATAGGGTTATGAGCAATGTTATTGATAGATTTATTGTCATATGACATTTTAATTGGCCTTTACCAATTGATTTTTAAATCTTTTAAGGTGATTTTGATCCACAAAAGTTAATAGATTCCTTGGGTAATTGCTCTAAATTCAAGTTCAATACCATATCTTGAATCAATCGGTTATTTTTTTCTCCTCTTATAGTATCCTAAAGTGGCCTTCTATCAATTGGTGATTCTACATAGTCTACATCAATATAACCTCAATTAGAGTATCCTACTTTTTATAGTGAATTCATTTTTAAGACTTGATTTAAGTTATTAGAGGACTCTATGAGCAGTTTGAAGGTGAAATTTTTTGAGTCTACACTTGATTTGATTACTAAGACTTACTCCAAAAGCAATAGTTGGATGGATGTGATAGTTTAGTTTTTCACTAATTTTTTTAATGAGTAAAAGCTCAAAATAATTTTCCACCGACTATTGATAAATGTCTAATTTTGCCCCAGAGTTTCGCATTGCCCTATTATTAGTCCTTCAACTATTAGAAATTGAGTTAATTTAGTCTCAGAGTCTAAAATAAGAATTATAGTTAACTCCAAAGTTAAATATGAATGATATTTTAGGCATTACAAGTGGATACGAGTAGAGGTGTCAAAAATGGGTTGCGGGTTAGGTTCGGGCCAAACTCAACAGTGACCCGCTTCTATTCGACATGACCCAAACCCGACCCATTTTTGCAAACGAGTCAGATTCTCAAACCTGAACCCGACCCGCCTCAAGTCCGGGTCAACATGACACGACCTGGCTGTGTTTGGCCTTCGTAACCCGTAGGTTACGGCTATGGCAGAAACAGTGGATGGCGGCGACGGTAGATGCGGCAGAAGAGGCTGTGGCTTCAATCCGACGGAGGCTGTGGCGACACAGTGCTATCAATGGACGGCACATAGATGGTTGACATGCTCGATAATCCAAGAATCCAAGGCAGTGATGGAGAATAGACCGAAGGTCGAACCGGTGCGCGAAAGGGAAATGGTCGACAATGCCCTATGGGTTTGAGCCGCTTGACGCAGATAGCAGACACGACGTCGTGATTGACGAGGATGTGACTCGACATCTCTTCTGATGCGACATATGGAGGAGACTAAGTGGGAAACAGTCGGTCCAAGTTATTTTGGGTTTCTGGGTCAACCCAAACCCGACTCGATTTTACAAATGGGTCGAAATCCTTAAACCCGAACCCGACTCGGTTCTGGGGGTCAACCCGAACCCAAAATTTTTGGGTCGGATTTTCAGGTTGTGTCAGATATTGACACCCCTAGATACGAGATTACATTTCTTACATTATATTCTCCGTTTCTGGGTGTTGAATCGCATCGTGATCGCTAGCGATAGCTCGCAGCAGTCTCCATCTCTGGCTATCACTCGCGGTCTCCATCGTGAGATGCAAATTGTCGTTGTCTCGTTCTTTTGATATCGTTCGCGGTCGCTTTCCCTCTCACTCGCATCACTTCACTCGCAGCCTCTTGCATCTTGCTCGCGATGCCTGCGCGTTGTCTCCAAGCGTGGCATCTTGATTGCAACAGCCGGGCGTCAACCTCGTGATCCCTGTATGTCGCAACATGTCGCCTTGCTCGCAGCTGCAGGTCTTCCCCCTCGCACCATTCGATCTCAAGTTTCGTGTCTAGGAAATTATTGTGGGAAGACGAGGGATCTTCTTACTTCCATTTTCTCCTACATCTTCTCTGAGGTGACCATTCATATCATTTTCTTTCATTTTTTATTCTTGTATCTTCCCCCTTCTCCATTTACACCAGATTCTTCCTTTCTGAATATAAAATATATAAAAAAATCACTCAGATCTTTTGTGCTGCCCCGCTTCCCATCAATGCACCAATTGAACTTCAGGTCACTCTCTTGTCCAAGTTTGCAGCGCATCATTGGTTTATTAATTCAGTTTAAAATAAAGATATGCAGGAATTGAACTTTGGTTCTCCAGTATAAAACCAAAAGTTGCTGACACTTAATAAAGGATTAATGAAATGACTTTGAGTCGGTAGCAATTTTGATGCTAACTTCAAACCTTACGAAGCAAAAATTATTTCCTGCCCGTTCATTTTGCTTGGGCGAAATAACATGCGTGTGCACACAAGAATATGACCACGCTATAGTACATTTGATGAATTGGGGTAGGTGATATGCTTGAATGATATGTAGGGTTTTCAGGAGTCCAACAAAGTAAGAGTTTTCACAAATAACTTATAATGGCTGACATGTTCGAAGGACAAACAGGCAAAATAAATGGGGAGGGCAATTGTTATTTGAATTGTTGCGGATTAATGTTATTGAGAACAGGGTTAAGGTTACGTAAAATCATTTTAGGCTTCGTTTGGGACGATTTTTTTATTGTTTCTTAAAATAGAGTTTTTTACAAAATTTTTAATTTTTGTACTAAAATTCTATTTTAAAAAGCAATAAAAAAGCCGTCCCAAACGAAGCCTTAGACTTTTCAATCGCACAGAACTCGTTGTAGAGTGATTTCTCCCTAGAGCAAGTGTTTGAGGGTAAGTTTATATTGACTCGGAACCCATATTCTACCTTAGAATCAGTACCTTTAAATGATATTTTTCCGAATAGAAAAATATCAGGAAACTTATAAGGAAAAAAAAAATTCAAATTTACCATGAGATAGCTCTTTTGTGTAGCCGATGAATTTTATTTTATTTTTTAAAATTAATCTCCTGTTAATTCTTTTCTTTTTAGGTTGATTTCATTTATGTGATACTATGATGCTGCAGTAACTAGTTGTCTTTATATTCATGATCTATTTATCCTTATTCTATTTGCTGTCTTATCTGACGCACCCACTCCAAGTGGAAGGCAAGCGGGGCACAGTAACTATCCCAGCTAAGTTGGAGTCCACCACCTTTGTCTTTTCCTATGGTGTCCATCTTTTTTTCACCAGGATTGCCCCATCATGGATCTGAGATTCCTTTGGTAATGATTTCATTTTTGCCTTGGTAACTGCTATCTTAGTGACATGATACTTGTACGAAAGATTGACAGTATGTATTATTTGGGCGCAATGAACTGTTCTAAAAGTTTAGACTAATGGAGTAGACACCACTAAGATCTTATAACCAAAAATCCACTCACCTCCATGGATGATATGAACTCACACTACCCATGGCTTGATGTAGATCCTTGGCTTGGTCGTCTACAATAGCCTTTGTGAAATTTGACAGTCAAGCCTGTTTGAATTCAGGGATGTATGGATATAACACCATTTGTCTCTCCATATTGATGAAGATTTGTTCTAATAGTTACATGATATAAATAGAAGTCAAGCTTTCACAAACCCCGGCATTTGTCTATAAACCCCTTTCGGCATGAATGTTGCTTGATAGCCTCACTGAAATGAGCTTCTTCTTTGCTGAAGCTTTCAATAGCTGAATGCTTTTTTTCTTTTTGGCTCTCAATGGCCTTTGTAACTGAAACCACTTTGAGGCAATCGCTTTTCCTTGCCATAACTTTTTACCATTCTTCCATAGAGACAGCTTTGGCCACATGGAGAAGCTTCATTTTTTTATCCGTTGGGGGACAGGAAGTTGATCTCTCCCAATTCTTGTTTCTGTAATGTTGCACTATTGACTTCCAGTGTTTTTTTCACATGATCTTCTATCAGATTTAAATGTGCCAACTAATCAATTGGCTGCACATGTGCTTCTGCCATTCCATCCCAGGATGTTATACATGTGGTGGATCCTACATAACATACATGTCTCCTGGCAATGTACCCATGAGAACCACAGAAAGCCTCTCTCTCTCTCTCTCTCTCTCTCTCTCTCTCTCTCTCTCCATCTTTTGTTAAACCATTTTTTATATGATTAATGCTCGTCAAAGCTGCTGTTACGTTCTGGCCGAACCGTCCAAACCGGCTCAGGTGGGGCTGGTTCATACCTATACGAGGCGGGCTAAGCCACCTCCTTTGATGGCCACCCAATCATGTGAGCCCCCCTAGGGCGGCAAGGAGAGAGAAGGAAGGGGCATAAGGAAACTATTTGAATTAATGTTTGTTTTAGGAAATCTTTTATTAGTTTTTATTAAGAAGATATGTAATAAAAGAGGAGAGGAGGCTAGGGTTAGGGCATGCATGATTTGAGTTATTCTCTTGGAGTTCTCTTAGGGTTTTGGGCTCTAGATTCATTGTCTAGAGATTAGGAGAGAACGATCCTCCTCTCGAATTGAGGATTAATTGTATCTTTGTTTTTCTTTTGCTTTACTTTGATTTTCCTAATAAAATCTACTGTTTTTGGCTGATTTTGTTGGCCAACTTGTGTGCTTTCTTGCTGATTTCACCAATATTCGCTAGGGTTGCTTGCGAACTCAAATAAATCTGATAGGATTACTTGCGATCTCAAGTATTTTCTATCAGCTTCATGTGCGTGTCAAGTGCTTATTCCAATGCACTTGTATATGATTGTTTGTCATGTCCACACTGCAGCTTGATTAGCTTCATGAAATTCAAAGCTTTTGAAGCATCCTAGTTGGTCGAACCTTTTTATAATTTCCAAGTGCCTCCCTTACTCTATCTAGACTGGATTGTCCTAACAAAGAAGATCACCTCCTTTAAATATACCTGATAAATATTTCTCCTGTGCCCAGGAGTTATAAAAGTATGAACATCGATCCAACCTCAACCCATTCACTTTAAAGAGAACATACTACAGTGAGTGATCGAAACAATCTTGTAGGATAATGTGGAAAACTTTTACCAAGCAATGTGAAATGTATTATTTCTTTGATAAATTTTATATATCTATGATAACAAGTCTTTAATTTTGATTTTGCAGTAAGTTAAAAGCTCTAGCAACTATTCCTAGGGGCCTTTGATGATGGAGGCCAGCGCGACCCGCCGTTCAAGCGAACCGCTTTCTCGTCCTTCCATCCATTCAAAAAAGCAAAGAACTCCACACTTGTCAGAGGATTATGGAGCAAGTAATCAGTTTCCTATTCCCTAATAAGCTGCAACACCTTTGGTTGAATATTTCTACAAGCCTTTACATTGAAGAATAGAGCCATTTGAGCATCTTATTGGAGGTCATTCATCCCCTTCCAATTCCAGTCTCATCTAAACAAGCTTTTTTAGAAAGTGATGGAAACTCTTTTGATTTAGTGATCATTTTTTCTTCACAAATCTCTCTTTGTCACTTCTTTCTTTCTGGTCATTGTGGATGGTGATGCTGTCTCCAACTATTGGAATGGTTATGAAAAAAACTCAACTGACATGATCAATTGTCTCTGTGTTACCTTTTTATCATGATTTGAGTCCACTTATTGATCATAAGGGGGTCTAATTACTTGGAAAATGAATGTTGATAATTCCTTTTAGATGAAGAATACTATTGGTGGTGCTTGATGTTAGAAATGGCTTTTTATTTTATTTCTCCCTTTCCATTGGTATTGAACCCTTTTGAAGGGAGGGTTTGGCTTTTTTGGGATAATGGAGTAGTATTAATTTATGGTGGTAAACACTATTGCAATTTCCTTTTAGTTGATTTTGATTTTGATGAGATTTGTGATGTCTTATCTTTGAGATAGAGCTCACACTTGGCTTCTGGATTTTGATTGAATGCTACGGTTTCGTTTGACCCTGTTAGGAGAGTAGAGGTATTAGATTTGACTTGTGTTAAGAAAGGTAGGGGTAGACCTCAAAAGACTTGGTTAGAAAATATTAGGAATGACCTTTCTTTATTAGATTTAAACGATAATTTGACTTTTAATAGGACATAATGGTGAAAAAAGATTCATATAGCCGACCCCACATAGTGGGATAAAGGCTTGATGTTGTTGTTGTTGTTGTGCTACGGTTTCGTTTGAGTCTGTTTTCTTACTGCTTTTAGAACAAAAATTTTTAACTGAAAAGCAATTTTAGAAAGCAGTAAAAAAATTGTTTTAAATAAAGCCTAAATGATTGAAAAAAATTGGCTCAAATATAATTGATCTATAAATAAATGAAGTTTATATATTACCTAAGAAAAATATTGAGCCATGAAAGATATCAACATCTTTATTTCAAAATTTGGTTTAAATGATAGACAAAAAAAAAAAAGTTAGGGTTTTGTTTTATTCTATCTTTATTTTAATATTTTTTAAAAACACTCCTTATTTAGATTTTAAATATGTAAAAAAAAGTTCTCATTTTAGATATGTATATGACCACCTAATCATAATTCATAATTGCAAATCTAATCACACCTTGGTAAGTGGAGTTCATTGACAGCCCATCTATAGTAACAGTAGAACTTATCAATGCTGATGATGGAGCTCAATAGTGACTATGTTTGAGCTCATGGTTGAGGATGGTAGAGTTTAATCTAACTAGCAATTGAAAAAGGCATAATCAACTATTGATTTAGGCTTCGGTTTGGATCTCTTATTACTACTTTTTAAAGTAATTTTTTAATAAAAAATTTTTTTTTTTCAAAAATTTTTTGTATTAAAAAGTTACTTTATAAAACAGTTCGAAAGTAGACCCAAACGAAACATTAGTTGTTCATAATTTAGCTTGCCAACACTATTTATTTAGCTATTGATTTGAATATTTTTAAATAAGTTGAACTCCCATTCTCTTCTTTTAGAGGATGATATGTCACCAATAAATTTATTTGATCAAGTATATATATTAATGCGATATTTGAATTAGAAATTTGTGGAATCAGTACGAAGAAATAATGAATGAATTTTGTAGGCAAAAGTATAGAAAAAAATGTACATTTTGATAAGATGGATGTAATAAGCTTAAGATTGCTTGAATAGGATGGTATTAAGACTCTTAAATGCTTGAAAACAGCACATGATTAAAGAGGGTCAATATGAGAAACAATTGAATGTTTGAGATGGTGAAAAAAGTTTAAACAAAAGGTCTCAACCAAAAATTTATATAAATAGGCTCTTATTCCATATATTCTTCTTAATAATATACTTACATTTGTGAAAAAATAAAGTATAAAAGCATATGGGCTTATCATAGTATTCTTATCTATGTTTGTTATAAAGTATAAATTTCTTTCTAAAGAAGGAATGACAATTAAGAAGACATTGTATTCATTATAAATAATCTTAGGAATCCTTTTAGGACGCTTAATTGTATTGAGATAAGCATTATTTGATGGTAGTTGGTGGCCTTTTGATAAGATTAAGGCTATGAATTTTTCTGTGTAATATCTAAGGCTGAATTATAGAGTTTATGGTGGAATAGTGAAAGGATTAGTAGAAGTCATAGGAAAGCTAGGACCAGCCAAATTGGGCTAGTTCAGGATGATTTGGAAGTTCGCTTTGAGGAATGGGTTGAAGGTTGGGTGAACGATTGAAAATATTTATGGAGGGTTAGTTGAAGATGTGTACTAATATGGACCAGATGGTTAAATTTTGTGGAGTTTAAGTAGGTATCAAGGAATTGGGAATATGACTAAGTCATAGTCTTTCTTAGTTCAACCGAATGCTATATGTTGGATTTAGAGTGTTTGTGAGGTCTTAGGTGATGGGTGGTTAATCTTGGAATATGCTTGAGATATACAGAGAGATGTATGATTTAAAGCAGGTGTTTGAGATGGAGAAGTAAATAAACTTAAGATAAAAAGAATAATGGCATTATATATCTCATCAAAGAAAAAGATAAATTTGAAGTCACCAAGCAAAATAAGAAAGATTATTGATCCATAAAATTGGAGAGAAAATAAAGAAAGGGAGGGGGATTGGTGGTCACTAATAAAGCATGAGTTAAACCACTTATTTTTAATCATTCTTTTATTTCAAAACATGTTAAAGATAATCATATAAATTTCTAGGTGAAAAATAAAAGTATAAATATATTAATATGAAAATTATTTTTAAAATATTTTAGATTATAACTTTTTATTGATCCCTTGTAGCTCGGTCTTTTCTTTGATCTTTATTTTAGGCATTAGTCTTAACTCTTATAATTAAATTTTTATTTTAATAATTTTGATCCACATGATATTTACATCATTATTAGAATAATTAAAAATAGAAAAATAATTAAAAATAAATTTAGCAATAAAAAATTCCTATTCCAATCATTCTTCATCACAAGATTTGATTCTATGTACTTGATTGCAAGCTTTACTTTTGTTGAATGAATTATAAAAAGATTTGTTTTTTTCATCTCCTTCAATAATAATTTTAGAACCTGATTTTTATTTCAAATACAAGTGATCCTCCATATATTGATACTCAAGTAAATTGAATTAATGAGCTAATTAAAGAGCTTTGAATAAAATTGAATTAATATTAGCATAAGTGTAAGTGACTCGAGTTTATTAGTGAGTCAGCTAGAGCTCAGCTCAATGAATGTTCGTGAGCTGAGCTTGATGAGCTAACGATTCAACTTTGAGTCAAATTTAACTCAGACTTATTAGCACGCTAACAAACTAGTTTAAAAAAGTATTAATATAAAATACACTTAAAATATATCAGAATTCATAAGCTTAAATAATAAACTATTAAAAATATTTAAATTTTATATTACACCTTTTTATATCAAGTAATTTTTTATTATCTATCTTCAAATTTTTTATTTTTTAATAATTTTATTACAATAATTACTTCAATCACAATTATTTTTTCTCTTTTGTTATAAAAGAGCTAGATTGAACTCATAGAATTAAGCTATTTTTATTTTTTAATAATTTTATTATAATAATTACTTCAATCACAATTTTTTTTTCTTTTTTGTTATAAAAGAGTCCGTTTGAACTCTTAGAATTAAGCTCGAGCTCAAATTACGAATGACCTGACTCAAGCTTGATCGAACTCGTTTACACCTCTAATTTTAATTACTATTATTAGTTAAAATCATAAAACCCTAATTTTGCAATATTAATGAAGTATAGAATCCCATAATAAGAGGACATGGTGGGTACTATTTAACCCCCACAAAGCTATAACTAAAGATAGTGACTGATAGAGACCCCTAATCTCTTTGTTAACCAAACCACCCACAGCGGTGGGCCCCACTGCTCATGACCGGTTCAAAAATGGCCATCAAATGTGACGGCTCACCCATGAATCGGTTGGGCTTGCAACATCCGGTTCAACCGCTTCCTTCTATCTTTTTACACTTGAGTTAATTTTTATCCAAATTTTATAAATTTAATCATAAAAAGACTCTTTTGACCTTAATAAATATAATAAAATAGTTTTTTTTTACACTTGAGTTAATTTTTATCCAAATTTTATAAATTTAATCATAAAAAGACTCTTTTGACCTTAATAAATATAATAAAATAGTTTTTTCATATTTTTTAAATAAAAATTTAGATATGTAATGAATTTATATAAGATTTGTTATGGGAACAATATTTCTCTATGTTATTTTTTAAAAAACATTTTAGATAAGTTTTTCTAATATAAGTAATTATGTTTTTTATTGGGCTTTATTAAGTAAAAAAATCAAATATATCTTTATAATATATTATTTTTATTAAACATATTTTATATATTATGCAAGGTATTGACTATTGAGTTAAAGACAAGAGAAATATCAAATAACATGGTGTAAAAAAGTCGAGTCAAATTTGAGTCACTACTAGCTTAAGCTAAGTTTGACCTCGACCTCAATTAATTATTCTATGCTGACACCGGACGGCGTCCGGGTGATGTGGCGCACTTTTATTCGTCTTCGAATGGTTTGGTATACGCACAGAATAATTTCTCCCTCGACCTCATGCTTACTTATGTTAGTTCGAGTCAACTCAAAAACTGACTGATTCAAAATCAATGAAAATTACAAAAATAAAGAAAAATTAGAATATAAATAAAAAAAATTTATTTGATATAAGAAAATAAGATATATATTTACTAATAATATTTTAAAATTAGTCAATTTCTGAGCTAATAAATCTTAGTACAATTACTCCAATTTAGACTCATTAATTCAACAAATTTAGCTCATAAATTATTTATCACACATCTCTTGTGAAAAGTTCAAGAGCTTTAAAGGGTTGAAGTTCTTGCAGCAAAGCAAAAGAACATAGAAATGTAATTTTATAATTGTTATGGGGTATATCGAAGAAAGACTCATTTACTAGTTTAAGCAAGGCGCGCGGCTCACGTGGACAACATACCGCTGACGCAGATACCCCTCCCGACTGCTTTTACTCTACAGAAAATTAGCCGTAGTCCAATGGCACTTGTCATAATTTCATCAAAAAACAGGGGTCATTTGGAAAAGTTGGGAGATTCGGAGCTTATCCTGTGGGTCCCGGTGTATGCCAGACGGGGAATAGGAGGCCCACCAAGGATGATAGCAATCCACACGGAATCAAAAGGAAGGAGCACGGGCGAGCGGGCGGTTGGTCCCACACATTGACCTGTTGTAATTCGCCACGTGTTTCA